ACGTTCAGGCAGTCCTTTACCTCGTTGTCCGTGAGGCCTTCCAGGGTCAGCTCACAGGTGCGCAGGGCAGTGATGGCCGAGATGCGGCCACCCAGCTGCACGGCCCGGGTGAAGTGGGTGCCGTAGTTGGAGATGAGCCTGAGGTAGCTGGGCTCGGTGGAGGCATTGAAGTGGGGGGGCAGGTCCCTGAGGGCCCTCCTGAAGTCAGGGTGGAGTGGGGGCATGTGCACCAGGCGAAAACTGGGAGGAGACAGAGCAAGGCATCAGTAACTTTAAGGTCACACGTAAGTGGGCAAAACGATCAGTGAAACTTAAAGCCGGCTTCAAAGCTTGCTCTGGGGCATGGAGCTGTCAGGGAAGCCTGCTCTCACTCCTCAGTTACCTAGATATTCTATAGGCATTTTCTTTTTACAAAACAAAGTTTTTTTCTCTCCTTTTGTTTTCTTGTTATAAAAGCAATGGTATTGCACTGATGGCATTCATTTAACTTTGGAACCTAGTCATGTGGTCTACCCTTGTCTGTTCCCCTGCGTTGAGCCCTTTGTGCCCTGTCTCCTGACAGTCTGGGCCACGCAGGTAGGAGATGCCCTGGCTCGTTGTGGAGAAAATGAGAAATCAGAGCAGATGACTTGGGATCGGGCCATGCAGGCCATGAGCTTCTCAGGTGTGGACCTAGGTCCCAGACCGTCTGCTCCTGAGAGTTCAGCAGGTGAGCCCTGACACAGGCCAATGTGAACATTGGTTGAATGGATGAATGAGGCCCAGGGAAGAGATTTGAGGTGCTCAAGGTTGTATAACAATGAGAAGGGAGGACCCATTTTGGTCTCTTGCCTCTGTCCCCATCCAGGAGGGACCCCAGGGAAGGCTGTCAGGGCTCAGGAAAGAGGCAGCTGGGTGCTCTCTAGACCTAAATGGCACCATGCTAGGGCACTCAGACATGGCCTTGCTTCCCCTCCACCTGGTCTCTCCCTGGACACTTCCAGATTTGGGACTTCATGGATGGGTGGAGGACACAGGGCTGAGTCACCTGAAGTCTGAAAACCAGGTTTGTGGTTTTCTCCTAGTAGAAGCAGCCTCCAAGTCCC